AATAAATGCCCAATTTTTGATAAAAAACGGCGGACACTTATTTATATTCCTAATAGAAAAAAGAATTTCGATACCATTAATGAACAACACCATTAATCTTAACTCTAACATGAACACTTCCACTGAAAAGAAAAAATATTTCACTATTCCGTACTTAAAGAGAACGTCTGAGAAATTCAACATAGCTCTTAATAAATTTCAATTCGAATTGGTATACAAACCGATGAACAACTTGAACAGGTTTATAAAAACGGGGAAAGATAAATTAAAAAAAGATAACTTTCGAACGTCGTATACTAAATTAATTGTAAGGACTATGATTATTCGTATGTAGGTCAGACGAAAAGGAAATTAAAGACGCGATTAAAAGAACATATAAATGATTTTAAAAAACCAGTTAATTCTCTCTCAGTCATCTCAAATCACAGAATTGACACAGATCACGCGATAGACTGGGTGAATACTAAAATATTAGATTCTGAACGCTCGCATTATAAAAGATTGGTATCTGAAATGATTTATATTAAGACGCAAAAAAATGGTTTAAATAAACAAAGTGATATGGAGCGGTTCCAGATCTTTATCTCCCTTTCCTTGAATAATAGTTCCAGCCCCATTCTAAAATCTTCCACTTCCTTTCCCTCTTCTTACCCTTCCTTTTTTCCTTTTTCCTAATATAAATAGACCAGCATTTTTGGCTTTTGGCATTACGGTAGTTAAAATTCCCTCTTTACCTTAAATTATCACAGTATTCAGTTATACAGATGAGTCCCCGCACCACAGGATACACGTAAGTTCATTTAATTGGTTTTTCAAAAGGATAATGAATTTTTTAAAATATCTCTCGGCGTTGAATCTAAACAGTAGCATATTACTTAATTTGAGTGTTTTTTATAAAAATACGACAATAACTAACTCACTTATTGAATAAAAAATTTTTTGTTTTTACAATAGAACTCGGTACTTGCGTGTCTCTTCGTTGTGGAGTTCGTCGTTTTTTAAATGAAGAATTAATTATGGTATATTATATTATTGAAGAAAAAGAAAAAACTTTTGTAATTAAATTCTTTCTATCCATAGCGCGACAATAATTAACTATTATCTTAATCTATTGTACTTGGATCGATTGCGATTAATTCCGTATAATAAGGAAATAATAAATTTTGTACTAGCTATCGCTACATTTATCAGTCGAATTGTGTATTTAGTTTTAATTTTTAACGTATTCTATTTTATTATACTGAAGAAGGTCAAATCTTGACCGAAACGTCTACTTATTGTTATGAATTGTTTTTAAATAATATATAACGTGTTGAGGCTTGAATCGGTTATTAAATTCAATTTGCTTTTGAGAGAAGAAAAATAGTTCTTTATTGATGGACAGACGAGACGAGACTAACTCGCATGGCAACGATGCGAGAGTCTAACTTGTTTGTTTAGTTAGAGTGACATGGCAACGCGACGGTCGACCCGAATAACAAAAACAGTCGAGACATGCCACGGAGACGCTCGGGCCTTTTCGTTGAATCGATAGCGCTCTTACATTACTCACACAAGCAAACTAAGCTGACTCAACATAACGTATTTACATCCTTAGTTGTATGCTCTGTATGCTCTTTATTATTTAATCTTTGTAAATTTCTTAGCCACTTTTTAACAATTTAAAATTTAAAAAAGTCTATACTATCGATCAAGTTCGGATCTACAATAGATTTTTAAACCATAAGAAATGGACGAATCGCAATCGATTATTCTCCTATAGTCGCATTCGATTATAATTGGTCAATTTTTTACGGCTTGAGGTTTAAAATACCTATTGTAGATCCGAACTTAGGATCCCCTTAAGCACCGACGAAATACTATTAAAGACTGACATCCTTACGGAAGTTCGCGTCCTTGAGAATATTGAAGTGATTAAGAATTAAAAATTGATAATAATGTAGTAATTTTATGATTTATTAGTTTAGTAGACGTATTTATGCATTTAGAACTCAATAATACTTAATTATTCTTTAAAATTATGATTTCAGAGTTATCGTCAAACTTTAATTACCAATAGAGATGATAACTGCAGAACAAAAATTGTAATTTTTCTGCAATATATAGGATATTATAGCTTTACAAATATGCATACTTATTTATGGACATTTATATAATAAAAAATCACAAATTTAATAATGCATGAGCAAAATATTTATGTTAATAATAACAAATTTATATCAATTGTCGATAATGTCAGCGTTATTCAATTATCTTTAGGCTCTCGGGGGGCCGAAAATTTTATACCGCCGAAAATTTGCCCAGAGTTGAAGGTCTTTAATAGTATCTCGTTGGTGCCTTAAGTAATCTTAAGGATCCTGATTATTCAAATAAGACGTGAGTTATATGTCTATAGGCTATAATAAGAAGCGAATGTGTTTTGTCTCGCCTCGAGTATTGCATCATTTTTGAAAAACGTTGCCGGCTTCAACTGTGCTTAGTATGACTGACCAAGTCCCTCTGGTCGAGCCCCTCTCTTAACGAGATTCACTTGGCCAGTTTTTCAAAAATGATGTAAGTTGGACCAGGAGAGTTGGACCAACTAAAAACGAAGAAGAAGAAGAAGATTACTCAAATAAGAAATTTGCGTTGACGATAATGACACAGAATCAAAACCAGTAGCCACACACTTAAGCACGAGCCCATGGCTACATTTTATGAAATTTTTAAAACTTTGCGTTAAATCTTAATGAACAGAGAGCAAGTGAAAAAAAAACTTTTTCATCAAAAAATGTTTTAATTTTTTTTTTCTACTAAACTAATAGATCGATTTTAATGTTCCACGTCTCATTTTGTAATTGTTTCGAATAGCTACATTTTTTTATACCGTTTTTCTTTTCATACAAGCAATATCTTTCGTTTTACAAGCGAAAAACGTGCTTTTTGTAACTATTCAATTTTTTTCGCGTATTTTCTTCACAAGTCTCGAGTCTCGAACATACGCATTTCTTTTCTGATGGCCTTTCGAGACTTTCGTGAAAAGAAATGCTGATTTATAATTTTTTCCGGTAAAATTCTACTTCTACTGAACTATTCTTGTTACTCGAGTTTACAAAGTAGGGGTATACTGTATAACGCGCATGAAAAATCGTAAACAATTAAATATCTCGTAAACTGTTGCGTTTTGATTAGATTTATACTATTCTGGATTAAGGGGAGGAATACTATTACTACAATTTATTAAAACTTTACAATTTATTAAAACTATGTTATTTAGGATGCCCACTTATTGATGCCTAGTGTCGCCGAGCGGCCGAGATTGCCGAGAAAGCATTTTCGATCGCTTAAAACAAGCGACTAATTTAAGAAGCTTGCTGTCTCTCAGCTTCACTCTCGGCGCAGGCGAGCATACGGACATGGATTCATGCTTGTTTGTATGTTACAGCGCCGCACCACGATAAATAGCCAAACTTATAAGCGTAGAAAAGTAACGTTTTGATGACGAAATTTATGTTGTGTGCCATTTCCTTATTATTATTTGTTTAATTGTGAAAATGCGACTTGTTTCGTAATTACGATGAAAACTAAAATTATCTTAGAATTTTATATGTAAAAGGGTATATTTTACTCGTTTCAACAGCTGTCGGACCGTGTTTCTGCCCAAATATAGGCTCACTTTATGTGCCTTTTACGACCATTTAACTGACTATCTAAGGAGAAAAGGACAGTTTTCATCGATTTTTACAAGTGTTCTCGTCATTTCATTTTATCCAAATTATCTTTACTTAAAAATGACACGCAACATAAATTAACGTGTCATTCTTCGCTTCTAACGTCATGATTCCGACATGGCCGCCGCGACTAGACAGGAGCCTTAAGACGTTAAGGCTATATCCACACAACTTGCATAGCCGCATAAGCGTATGCATAAAGAGAATTATCCAATCGCATTTCTCTTATAAAGCTATATCCTATAAAGCGCACGTAAAATGTGATAATTTTCTTTATGCGTACGTTTATGCGGCTTTGCAAGTTGTGTGAATATACTCTAAAGGCCGCAGCACAAACTTTTGCATGATGCATAACGCATAGTGCATAAGCGAATCAACTAATTAGAATCTTTACTTTTCTCCCATACCATGGAAAAGAATTTAGATTGGTTGATTCCCTTGCACTATGCATTATGCGATATGCACAACTCTTTGATTAGTTCGCAACTTCTTAAGACTGTACTTAAGACGATCTTGAATATATCTGAGTATGAATATCGGCCTTATAGTTCCCGCACACAGAATGCGGCAATGCTTGCCGCGTAGCGGAAGTTATCCCACTACCAATAATTCTATGTTTTTAAGTCTGTCTTACCATGCAAAACTTCTAGAAATGATGTAACATTACTTCCAAGCAAGCAAGATTTTCGCCGCGCGGCAAGCGTTGCCGCGTTCTGTATGCAGAAGCCATTAGACAGAACGTGCTTTTTCGCAATTCGCAATTGAAAAAAAAGTAACAAAGACCATAAAATAAATAAAAAAAGATCGTCATTTTGTACTCTGCCCCCCTACCTCTCCATTCGTTAGTCAAAAATTCCACATCCACGGACAAAGTAAGTTGCCAGCCCTAATGCATAATTATAAATTTTCATTGATTTATCATTATCTAACTTACCGACATCAAAAACTTCGAAATTAAAAAGAAAAATGGGACTTAAGCAATTTTGTTTTTCAAAATGTATGAAAATATGGAAAATACACAAATTTACAAAATGACAGGAACATTGGAGGGAGTGACGTAATATTTACCCAAATTACATTTACGTTTGCATTTATATGGCTGTTTCATAAATATTTACTAATGTAATTAAACGAAAAAATCGCAAATTATAATGCGAGTACTTATAATATGTATATAAACGTAATCAAATACTAATACTATATAAATCCTTTTGGAATCAATACATACGTTAAATTAATTGTAGAGGTTAGTTCGCGTACTTAAATATTGGAGAAAATAAAAAGACAGACCTTTTGCCTCTTGCGATAGAATATGAAACGCCTCTTGGATTTTGACCTCAGGATTTGACATTATTCGAAATAAAAAAGAAATAGTGCGAAACGTTTAACAAAGCACCGACAAATCTAAACAAATCTGACAAGTCGCGGAGACATATGTAGGTATTGTAGGTTAGGAGATCTAAATTGAAGTTGTAAATACAAATATTGTTATTCTACACAACAGCCAATCAATGCATCTGAAACTTCGTCGGATTATTAGTCACGTGCTAGTAATTTCATTGTCTCTTTGCTGAGGATTAAAAGAAATCGAAGAATCCGTTTTAATATGTATGTATATACATCCCAAGTAGTACATAGCACTTACAAAGCGTTAACAAAGCGCTAAAAAAGCCCATATAATCGCTTTGCAAGCGTTTTGCAAGCGTTGTTGTGCTACTTGGGATACATGTAAATTTACACTTTTCATTGAGTAGCTAACTAGCTAAAACAGACGAGATGGTGACAGAGTTTAAAAAATATTTATAATCTATTCAAATTCTATGTATATTTGTAGTAATACATATTATATAACATAAAGACTAACCAGAGCGATGCATTTAATAATATATTATATGTTCATATATATTCATTAGATGAATCTTTTACTCTGCGTAAATCATTGCAGATTAAATATAAAATATGAGAGAGATGGTGTGTGTGCTTGTGTGTGTGCTCGTGTGTGCTCGCGCGCGCGCGCGCGCGCGCGCGTGTGTGTGTGTGTGTGTGTGGAAAATTCTGCTTAAGATGTTACGTAATCGTGAAAAATGAAGAAATGTTGAATTGTAGATCTAGAGATAGAGAATTTTATTATAAATCTCAAAGATATTATATCAGTTATATAATGTTGATTTGATTACAGATACATTGTATAAAGTAAAAAAGATAATCTCACATCAGTTCTGACATTGAGCTCAGAGATAGATACAATTGTTAAAATCAATCACGTTTGCCATTGTAGATCATGAACAAAAGCAATATGCTGCAAATACGCTTAGAAAGGCCTCTCTATGAACACGAAATGCTGAATCAAAATTATGATTATGAGAAACCAAAGTCATCCTGTAAGTTATAATGAGGTGTAAGAGACACATCGTGTGTAAAAACATAAATTTAGGTATAAGCACAAATAATCTATTTACAGTGATGCAGAATGTGATAAACAATGTTAAGTCAAAGAACTGGCAGTCTTGTATAATGTCGACAGTTCCAGTAGTACAATGGCTTAGCCAATATAATTGGAGGGAAGACATATTGCCTGATATTATTTCAGGCCTAACAGTAGCAATTATGCATATACCACAAGGTATGGCTTATGCGCTTCTGGGAAATTTGCCGCCAGTAGTTGGCATATATATGGCCTTCTTTCCTGTCTTCATATATTTCCTTTTCGGCACGTCCAAGCATGTATCTATAGGTAAGAACACCAGATGATATTAAGAGAATATATGAAATTTGAATTGTGTTAGAGATAACATTGAGTTAAAACCAAGTTGCAAAAATATATATATTTTGCAACCCTCCTGGTTAATACATTTATTTGATTAACTTCCGTTACAGAACAGTTAGAAATAATACATCTTAATATGAACTTATTCAACTACCTTGAACAATCAAACATTCTTGGCACTCATCAGGAACTTTTGCTGTGGTTTGCCTAATGACTGGCAAAGTAGTCACATTTTACTCAAATCCATATGTCGGACACACATTTGCAAATGCTACGGATGCTGTTTTACAAAATCTCCAAGATGTCTCATATGGATATACACCTATGCAGGTAGCAACAGCTGTGACATTAATGGTCGGAATATTTCAGGTAAATGCCTCTTTGAAAGCATTTCTTTTAAAATTGAAAAGACAGGGAAAATAAATAGATTTGCTTATCATTATAGATAATAATGTATACATTCCGATTGGGCATTGTAACGACTTTACTCAGTGAAACTTTAATAAACAGTTTTACAACAGCAGCTGCTGTTTATGTTTTAATATCTCAAATCAAGGATCTTCTTGGTTTAAAATTGCCAAAGCAGAAAGGTTATTTCAAATTGATTTTTGTAAGTAAACATAAATTATATTTCTCGTATGTAAGATTATAATATTACATTTTTCCGTTTCTGTTGTATGATAAATTTTTTAAGCTTTGTTGATTGTCTATAGGACAGAAAGATCAGAGAACCTCTTTATCCTGCAACCAATCAATAGGTTTGAAAATCTTTATCGTATGACACATGAAATATTAGCTTTATACCATAAATTATATAGTAAATGCACAATAAGTAACAACAAAAATGTGGGATTTGAATTTTTCATTATAAATTTCATTTTCTAGTAAAGACACCATATTTTTTTTATGTTAGAAATAATCTATATGTACTAAAAAGATTTAATTATGAAAGATAAAATGAAAGAAATTATTATAAAAACATTGAAAAGAGCCGATTTTTTTCAAAAAATAAAATATTTTATTAATTTTCTTCTTTTGCTTATATAAACATTTAAATAAGAAAGCTATTATATCTAATGTAAAAATATATTATTAGATATTATTGTATTTTCGGGTTACTGCAAATTTTAATTATAGTGATTATATCTGTGCGACACACACGTACTATTAATTAGTTTGTCAGTTACAAAATAAAAAATTATCAACTTCAAAAATACTTTTCTCATTATGCGTAGATACGAATATGTATAACTCTATATTATGAAAATTGCTTTAAAATATTTTCAATATAATAGTATTATACAAATGTATAAAATCTATTATGTCGTTGAACAATATGTATAACAATTATGTGGACAAAATAATGTATATTTTTTGCTCGCAACTGTACTTGTTTTCAGATTAGTATAACGGAAAAACAGATTTTTAATTTTTTTTTCTTTTCAGACTATTATAGATGTATTTAAAGAAATAAAGAATACCAATATAGCCGCTGTAACTGTATCAACTGTATCAATTATTATTCTTGTTGTCAACAATGAATATCTGAAGGTAAATAGCATATTAATTTAATACTTTAATTGGATATTTGTAAAAGCTAAACATATGATTTATATTCCATTAGCCAAGAATAAGCAAAAAATGCAGCATACCAATACCCATTGAACTTATTACAGTGGTTGGTGGAACATTAGTCTCTCGATATTGTGATTTATCAAAAATTTATGATATTGAAACTGTTGGGCATATTCCTACGGGGTATATGTATAAAATTTTATCTCTTAACATTTTATCCTATTTTAATATTTGCCAAAATTCTAATATCTACTTAAAATTTAGATATTATTAAAATATTAATTCTTATGTTTTTTTAAATAGATTGCCCAAGCCAGAAGTGCCAAGTTTCGAATTATTACCCTTAGTATTGGTTGATAGTATTGCGATAACTATGGTTTCATATACTATCACTGTATCAATGGCGTTAATATTCGCACAAAAGCTTAATTACGAGATAGATTCGAATCAAGAACTTCTTGCAATGGTTAGACATTAATATTTTAACAATTATTAAGCTTTTATTAATAATTCCGGCAAATTATTCTAATTTTAGGGTCTTAGTAACGTAATGGGTTCTTTCTTCTCCTGCATGCCAATATCGGCTTCCTTGAGTAGATCTCTTATTCAGCAAACCGTCGGGGGACGTACGCAGATAGCGAGTATTGTATCTTGCTTATTATTGCTTATTATACTTTTGTGGATCGGGCCATTTTTTGAACTTCTACCAAGATGTGTCTTGGCTTCCATAATAGTTGTACGTGTAGGATTGTATTATAAAGAAAATCTCGCATTGTCATTAAGAAAGCGTATAATTCTTAAAGACTTTTCATGCAGGTAGCATTAAAAGGAATGTTTCAACAAATCAGTCAACTCCGTAAATTTTGGAAATTAAGCAAAATCGATGTTGTAATTTGGATTATAACGTTTTTCGTGGTAATATTGATAAATATCGACATTGGATTGCTTGCTGGATTGCTCGTGTCGCTGGTCATGATTTTATTGCAAGTTATTCGGCCTTATACATGCTTATTGGGTCATATACCGCATACAGATCTGTATTTAGACATGGGTAGATACAAAGCGGTAAGGCATATCGAATAAATCAGAAAACAGCTATTAATCAGTTTTTACATTGCTTTTACATAGATTTTTCTTTTTAGGCGGTAGAGATACATGGAATAAAAATATTTCATTACTGTGGGACTTTGAATTTCGCCAATAATAGCTATTTCAAGTCCATTGTATACAAACTTGTGGGAATATGTCCACAAAAAATTATTAAGTACAGAAAAAAATTGACCGAAGAGGATCGCTTTTTGGATGAGAAAAACTCCAGAGAAACATGTGAATTGCAATGTATAATCATGGATATGAGCGCATTGAGTTACATCGATCCCAGTAGCGTTCAAGTCTTGCATATAATCGTAGAGGAGTTCACTCAGGTGAATATTAAGTTTTACTTCGTCAATTGTCCTAGTCCTATCTTCGAAACAATCAAGAAATGTGACTTATATACATATGGAAAGATGTCATTGAAAATCTTTGCAACTATACAGGATGCCATCACTTATTTTCAAAGTGAAATAGCCTCAAGATAATGAAAAATACAATTTCTAATATACTATAGTAAGATGTGCGCGCGCGCGCGTGTGTGTGTGTGTGCAATAGGGTAGGCCAAAAAAAATGTCTGAAAATCAATTAGCAATACCCCCCAAAAGATAGCTATGAGCCTTAATATGATTTGGGTAAAATTTCATCGAAATCGATTAATATTCAGGTTGCCTCTCGACTTCGAAATTAGTATTTATGCATTTCTTGAATACATGTCAAAATTTGAAAAAATATTGAAATTTTAATACAATTTGGTACTATCTATTCTTTTTTGATCGCTAAATACGAATCCGAAGTCAGAAGTACACATTTCAAAATGGCGGATTCAATATGACTACACAAAGGATGATTAAGAGTAAAGTCCAAGATCGGGAAATATCCCGAAAACTTTTCGGCATTTTTTACTCATTCTATTATATTGGGAAATATCCCGAAAACTTTTCGGCACTTTTTACTCATTCTATTATATTGGATCCGCCATTTTTGAAATGTGTACTTTTGACTTCGGATTTCGGTGTTCAGCGACTAAAAAGAACAAATAGTACAATGGTGCGTTCGGGAAGATGCTATTAATGCTACTTCTGTCATTCTTCATTGTTTATTAAATGTAAAACAAGAATAGAATGACACAAATTACGTTAATAGCGTCTGCCCGAACGCACCTCAAATTGTATTGAAATTTAAATTTTTGTTTTCAAATTTTGACACATGTATTCAAGAAATGCATAAATACTAATTTCTAAGTCGAGGGATAACCTAAAGATATTAATCGATTTCGATGAAATTTTACCCAAATCATATTGGGTGAAGCCCATAGCTAACTTTTGGAGAGTATTGCTAATCGATTTTCAAAAATTTTTTTTCGGCCCATCCTAATGTATAAAATATATGTCTTTATTACAACTATTATTACAATATATTAATGTGTAATGGAGGAATGAATATGCAATTATAGAATGCAACTACATATTTGTTATTTTCCTCTATGCAAGATACTTATATTGTTTGTGAAATGATACAAAGAAATTATAAGAATTATATTTTTTGTTATTAATTTTGTACAATGCAATGTAAAATACAGTATTGTTATATACATGATTAATATTGCATTGAAAAGATTGCATTGGAAATGAGGTAATATAAAAGTACTTGCAATGGATATTTTGTAATAAACTGTACTTAGAAATGAGAAATTGTGAATTATTTTGCTCTATATGTTGAAATTAATTTTTTTTTATCACATTCTACTACATTTACTAATGAGATAGAAGTTGGAAAAATGACCAAAATCACCTTAAAATTTGAATAAAGCAAATGTGGTTTTATAAGATGTAAATAAGATGAAGAGATATGCTGGCGATACTGTAATCTTCGAGCCTTACCCAGTGAGAAATGACAATGGAATCGACATCGAAATCATCGAATTGACGTCGATTCGGCATCGATTCCATTGTCATTTCTCACTGAGTATAACTCGAAAAGTACTTAATAAAAAATAACTCAATAAAATAACGCCAGCATATCTCTCTAACTAAATTATATAAAGGCTTCATCAATTTATTTCGATTTGGCAAGGCAATGAAAATAAAAAAAGACACTGAATTTGTTTTGTGAGCTATGCAGTATATTTTCGACAAATCCAAGAATATTTGTCAAATTTCAAATGTTATTAATAGAATTTAAAAAACAATTTTTGATATATTATATCGATATATACTATTGAATCAGTGTATGCACAGTGGAATAGAAGTTGGAAAAACTAGCCAAAAGTCAAACTTGAAATTTAAATAAAATAAATGTGATTTCATATTGTAAATAAGATAAAGAATCTCTAACTAAATTATATAATAGCTTCATCAGTTTATTCCGATTTGGTAAGGCAATGAAAGTGAAAAAGACTGAATTTGTTTTGAGCTGTGTACATATTTTTGACAAATCCAAGAATATTTGTTAAATTTAAAATGTTACTAATTTTTTAGGTACTTATAGCTGACTGTTGAGTGAAAATAGAAGCATAACAATAACAAAAGTTTTTTGTTATTTTACAAACAAGGTATTTTTCACCTTCTAAAATTTTTCAACTTATGCAAATTTTTTTTCCGCGACACACATTATGTCTTCTTCGGTTCTCATATACATATTTTTGCACATTTTTATTTTTTGTCGTTTCCCACCAGTACCTCAAAAATTAATAACATTTTATAAATATTAATAACATTTGACAAATATTCTTGTAGCGTTTTCTCTTGGCTGCTATCGCGACTAGTGCAACACTCAGACAGTGTACCGTGTTTCTATGGCTAGTGGTAAACAAACTTATTCGGTATAGTGCAAATTTTATGTACGGAGTGGGATTTTGTTACACCATCTCAAAGGGATGGTGTAGAGTCAGCGTGACATTTAAAATTTGAAAATAGAAGTCAAGCGGGGACAGAGTTTTAGCGCAATAAAATGATGTAGTGTACATCATGATGTGCACCACTCTAGGGTAGTGTAGCTGAATGTAACGCTTACACGCAACTGGTGCGGTGCGAGGTTGCACCCAGTGTATCCCAAGAGAAAACGCTATTGGATTTGTCGAAAATATGCTACATAATGCTTACAAAACAAATGCAGTTTTTCATTTTCATTGCCTTGCTAAATCGAAATAAATTGATGAAGCCTTTATATAATTTAATTAGAGATTCTTCATCTTATTACAATATAAACATTTGCTACATTTGCTTTATTCACGTTTTATTTACGTTTTCAAGGTTAATTTTTGGTCAGTTTTTCCATCTTCTATCTCACTATATGTACATACATTGGTTCAACAATATATATGGATATATATATATATATATATATAAAAATTGTTTTTTTAATTCTACATTAATAAATAAACATATAATTCGTGTCTTACATTTGTAAAAATAAATTTTATTTATTGATCAAGATTTATATAGTTACTTATTAATTTGCGAATCGAAAAGAACTTCTAATATATCTTAGATTATTGAATCTTATATACTTAAGAATATGCAAAATATTAGTTTATTTCACTATACGGTAAAACTCACAAATTTCAATAAAATTGATGTATTTTGTCATTATACTGAGTAACAATCAATAGATTTTAGCTGTAAAATATTATTAGTCAAAGTTAATTATTCTCTTTTTTATATTCTCAGTAATACAATGTAACACATCGGTCAATAAGTCCCCGGTCTAGCAAAGAAAACACAAGTGTTACATAAAAATTCGAATTTATTCATCAATATAGTTTCCTTTTAAGGCAATACAATCAGTCCAACGCCTTTCCAAACGTTCGATGCCGGTTTTGTAGAACGATTTTGGCTGACCCTCAAAATACGCATCAGTTTCGGCGATGACCTCCTCATCCGATCGAAATTTCTTCCCAGCGAGCATTTTTTTGAGCTCAGCGAATAGGAAATAGTCGCTGGGGGCCAAATCTGGCGAATACGGTGGGTGCAGGAGCAGCTCGAAGCCCAACTCGTTCAATTTAACCATCGTTGCCATCGACTTGTGACAAATTCCTTTTTTTCCATTGTTATGAAAATAACCAAATTAGCGTCACTAAAGCTTCAATAACTCACACAATAATGATCCGAATGACATATACATTTGACAGTACGCCTAAAAGGGTCTGTTCTTTCGAACCACTTGTGTACTTTTTGTGTTAGTTGCGCTCTCTATGTGTCAGACCGGGGACTTATTGACCGATGTGTTATATTTTTTGGAGCATCATAAATCTATGTGGAGCCTCACTTTGCGTTTTAAAGTGTATGTGTGGATGCAACAATGATGTGAGATTCAGTTCACCCCCCCCCCCGCTCCCCGCTCTGGTGGAACCATTCAACCACCGAAAAATTGAACAAATAAGTTTGGATTGGGATCACATTTCGCGTAGTTATAGACTCATATGGAATTGAATTTAAAATTTTCTATGCAAAGCGAGATTTTTACACAAACACCATAAATTTACATAGTGAGTTTACATAGATGAGCTTTTTAATTAATCACAGGTACAGCTTTTTTGGAGCAAAGTGCTAGTCTATTCTATATTTTATATATATTTTGATCATGACAACGTATGTATATGTAGTGACAGATTATAGAACACAAATAATACGATATTTAATTTAAGTAAAATTTAACTTTTTTGTTAATAACTTTTACGAGCGACAATTAAAATCTTTTGATTATTACTCAGGATCATGACCTTGACCACATTTGTCAAGGTTGCTGAAATTGATAAGATCGCCTCTAGTAAAGTCTTACCCAGTACACATTACATGAGATAAATTCTATTTTTGTTATTGCAATCCAATATGGTTAATAAATTAAAATTCCATTTTCTCATTACAACTTTATTAATCAGCGATATATCTTGTATAATGTTGCATTCTCTATGTTTCGACGTCATATTATCAATCGTCGTTATATTTGGAAAAGGAGAAATATTAAGCAAAATAGTATGTGTTTGAGTAATCGGCCTGTTTATTTATAGCGATCACCCTATATACAATGTCACGGCTTACGGTTACTTTAGGCAACCCGTTATGCCTTCGATAGTAGAATTCGCACAATTAGCATCCTATATTTTCTATTTGTAAGACACAATTGTTTTCTCTAATCTTGCGGCAGTGCTGCCTTGCGTTGACGCTGTTGTATACAGAATAAATATTCTAAAATAAAATAGGACATATTGTTCAACGTCGTACAATATGAGAAATTGAAGTTGCTTTATACGCTTCTCTTTTTCTAATCGACGATCGAGTGAAATGATTCGGTTAGCAATGTGCCTATCACATTGCGCTTTGCGCTTATGCCAGGCCGTACTTCTTCTTGAGAGATTCTGGCATCTCAGGTGGTGGTGGACGGGGCATGCGTAACCAAACCTTGACAGCGTCATAGATAAACCATTGCGCGGCGGTCAAGGTACCGATCATAATGATTCTCGGTCCCAAGCCCTTCCATACACCACCGAAACCGAGCTTCTTCAAGACTTGACCTGCAGATGCTCCCTTCTCTTGATTCAACTTCGACACCACCTGGCCAAACATTTATAAATTCAAAATGTAATTTAAATGACAATTTAAAACTATAAGAATCGAAAGATGTTATCAAATAGTCCAAGCATTATGTAGTTTATACGTAGTCTATCTAGCCTAGATATCTTTCGGTATCTTTATTTCGTAACATTTGAATTGATCTAGTTTTTAGCTTAATTCTTTATGTTCTTTATTAATGGATTATATTCGAAAATTGTTTATAATAATGTGTAATTAATTTTAGTTTAAATGAATATAAATAATTATGAGGACTTTTTCGTCTTTTGAGGCTTCTACAGATGTTTATATTTTACCAAGGTAATGAACAACCTAGTAGCGGAGTTGCTCTTCCAAAAAATTCTCATGTTCAATGTTGGCATTAATGATATATCAACACATAATGATAACCCGCAAATCTTTAAACAATTTTGAGTTTTAATTTTTTACTACGTAAGTTTTAGCTTTACAGACTTAAATAGACTGTAGCAAGAAAGGTATTTTTTACTTTTTTTTTATTGATATGAATATCAAAATATACTTTGTATTTCAATAAATCGATTCTTTCTTTTTTTAAGAAACAATGTCATTTATTTTGTCATCTAATCTCTCTTTTTACATTTACTCTTAATGCGTCCGAATTTTTATCATGCATCATGAGAACATAAAAGATTAGTCGATAGCTGGACTTTTAAATAACAAAAGTTTCTTTATCTTGACTTTTCAAATAACGTTTTTCGAACGGTTTTCGAACAAGTGATCGACAAATTTGATCGGTAAAGGAGCATAAAAGCAAGGTGACAATGCAATAATATATTACTTCAATTTACATATATATGAAACGTTTATCAAAATATATGTAAATTGAATATATTTACCTTGCGTTGGCTTTTATGCTTCTTTATCGATCAAATTTTTCTTCTTTTTTTTTTTACAAATAGAAGTATTCCAAAACCTACCGTATCAGCAGGATGGGATACAATAGCGCAGAATACACCGGCGATATATCCAGCTGCAAACGTAACCACCAACTGCTCAGATTTACTACATTCTGATCTAGGTTTGGGTACTACATATTTATATAGAAGTTCGACAGTGCGTTCAAAACAGGCAAATTTCATCATCGTATATGGAATCTGACGCAGCCATAGCGGTATTAAGCCTTTATAGAATCCAGTAAGACCCTCGTCTGCATACATCTTTGGTATCGCTTGTCGTAAAGTATTAGCATACCCTGGCATAGTCTGTATCCTGACCTGTAATTTAAAAACAAATTTGTTGTATAGAACAGGGTAGTTGTTTATAATGATATAGAAAACTATTGATGACCAATTACCTTGGCGGCTTCAAATGGCGCTAAACCAATATCTGCAAAGAATTCCGCTGAAGCCGACGATATCAAGTATAAAGAGGTTCTATATTCATAAGAGAGCTCTTCGCCGATTAATGTCGAATATTGAACTTTGAAAACTTCATAAAGACCAAATTTAAACATTCCCTGGATGGAGTAACCAAAGAAAGTAGGCGCCCAGCCTTTCACTAATCCTCGAGTGCCATCTTCGGCAAACGTTATCTATAACATATAGAATTCACAATAAATATCTTAAATATATAATAATATTGTATTATATCCACAGATATAAAAGAAAGTGAATAATTAGTAAGAAATTACTCGAAATCCATTGAACACTGATTTGTATTTTTGAGGATCCACTTGAATTCGGCATTTGACTAAATCTAAGGGAGTGATACCGGTGTGAGTGATACCACAGGATAAAATGCCTCCGAGACCGCATAGTAGGAAATAATGATTTGATCCAAATTCGCAACTATCTGGAAATATATGAAACATCGTATTGATTTTTAATTCTTCTATGTATTTTTCGGAAAATCCGACGGTAGAACTCTGGTATAAGTCAGTTCACAACCTTGCTTTAAGATGCCCTACGCCATAAGCCGAAAGAGGTTAAGTGATTAATCTTATGATTAGTCTTTAAACTATTTTTGAGCAGTCTCTAGTCTTTAACTGTACTTAAGCAAATCGACTTCAGCAAAATCCAATTCTAAAAGCATAAGTTTTCTGACCGCGATATATCGTCACTTACAACTTAGGACCTCTTAAAGCAAGGTTGTGGAACTAGGCTATAATGTCGTAGATCTACAAGACTTTTATTAATACATATTTCATTTCAGCAGTACGTTTAGCTTCGATAAACTCTAAAATTATTAGGTATAAATTTTCTTCTATATTTTTTCTAATTAAAAAAAGAATTTTTTTATGCCTATTACATGATATATTATATTAATAGATAATATTTTGTTTGTGTAGTCCCGTTATTACATCGTTAAATTTAGTAAATTTAAATTTTTCACATCCGAGTGATATTTAATGTGAAACAAAACTTAGACTTGATCCAGGCAAATGCTTCAAGCATGCATAGTATATCATATACATGTTATTAAACTTTAAAACAAAATGTAATAAATTGTTTTTTAAATACATAATAGTATAATTATAAATACAGTTTTATCTTTGGTAAAAAAAGTACCTAAAAATATCTTTTTGAATAAATATCTTATAATTTTTATTGCAGAATCCTTCTCCATTTTCACTTGGAGCTAATGGAGTGGACAATTTAAATTTGTTTAAACGAAGAATAAATTAATAATATATTCAAAATTTAAAAATGTCATTTTTAAATATTGAGATATTCGTAAGCATTTCAAGGGATTCTTTCGATCAGCTGATTAATCGAGCACTCTTCTTGGCGCGGATTCTAAGTTTAACTGGATTTGTCTCTTTTGCTTTACTTGCTTGATCTAAAGAAAACACGCTTTGAAAGCACGATCAACATAAAGCATACTACGCTTAAATAAACCAAGTAAGAAATGATTTATATCTCATGCGAGCGAATTATTCCTATCGTTTCGCCTTGTTTCGCCAAGACTAAAAAGATATTTTGTATAATGTGCCGATAGCACAATGGTTAACAATGGCCGCACCTTATACAATTCACGACATCCACACTTTTAAATCAAATTTTTTTGCTATGTAAAATGTTAAAATTCTCACATAAAGATCATGTAATTTGTAATCTTCTTTTAACATAGGAACAGAAATTTAATAATACATTGCACAGCACATATACAAATATGACATATGTATGTGAAATGTTTGATGAAACGTCAGTTTTACATTTTCTAGTTATACAATTTATAAAAATGTATTATAATCTACCGCGAGAAGTCGTGGAGTAAGGAACAGTGGAGCACACTGTTATTTTTTAAGAATAATTTCGAACAAACATTCATTAACTTAATGGTGATTAATCTATCAATATCTATTATTTTATTTTATATAGCTGTAGCTTTGTTAAGAAACTAAATATTTTCTTTAATAATGAGAAGAAAGACTATAGATAGACTGAATGGTGCAAAGACATTACTTCAAGTCTGTGCTAGATTGAATTATGTCCATTTCTATCAATATAAGTTAACTTTAATATCAGTTTTATATATGTAATTTTTTATATTCTTCTAGTTTTAGGAATTAAAAAAATAGTAAATTCAATAAATCAATTAAAGTTAATCTATATTGATAAAAGTGGATTAATTGTAAATTAATTAGAATTTTGGCCAAAGTTGTTTTAAATCATATGGATATTAAAAAAAAGCAAACAAAATAAAACAAAAGCTCTCGTGAACATCGATGAGAAATCGAGCGACCTTCAAATACGAATTTGTCAATGGAACGACATTCGATCATGTTTCAGATGAAACACTTCGGATTATGTAACGCGATTGTCAAATAGAAAAAATGGTGTGTCTTATCAAATGGATCATTTCATACAAATAATAAGGGCAAAAAAAAATCCTTGGGACATCAGTAACTATTCCTAGTACAAACAAGCTCGCTCCACAAGATGTTGGATATCACATGAAAGCTGTATAACCTCTCGATTGGAAAGAATTGCTCGTTTTACTCACAATCAAAGCGAGAAGGAAGATAATATTACTAACCACTTTCCTCGACGGAAGCGGCAACGATATTTCGATTCGGAACGAGCGGCCGAGCACCATTCTCCAATGCCTGGCACTTGACTGTCATAAACGGCGATGAAAATGGATTCATTTTTGCTGCTTCTTGTATCCAGGATAACATTGTGATTCCTGTAACTCGCGTTTACACCTGAGAAAAGCATTTGTTCAGTGTAACTAGTTAGATTAGATCGCAAGCAAGGATTTTCTTTTTTTGCCCGTAAGTATACATATGAAAGTACGTACAGACCAGTTACGAAGTACAGGAGTCTCGGCAGAGACCTGCCGAAGAACGAACACCAAGTGACTAAAGTGACACGAGATTGAGTGAGACTGCAAGTAACAGACAGAAGGGCTCGTTACCACTTAGCGTTTGCTTTGCCAAATTGCCGCCAGTCCAATCTTTTGGGCTGCTTTCAGGAATTTATTTCATATCCACACAACTTGCTTACACATAAACGTATGCATAAGAAAACTATCCAATCAAATTTTACGATTTATAAGAGCGATTTTATAAAAGAAATATGATTGGATGATTTCTTTCTATATATTGCGGCTGTGTAAAACCTGCAACACATGATGCTTGTTTTTCAGCTGAATTGCTGGCTGGATTAGAATCTTGCCACCATATTAGCTGCGATGCTGACACTGACTTAATTTCCATCGAAGGTTTAAACCGGATCAAAATGTAAGAACCAACCAATTACAGTCGAGCATTCATCTGTCATTCGACTGTAACACATATGATGACAAGATTCTAACGTGGGAGATTTAAGATGCAGCCACAATAGAAAGAATAAAGAATTAGGAATAAGGAAGGTTTTCAACCTATCAGATATTGGATACACTAGAATACACGGTTTCTGATAGGTTGGAATCCTTATTCCTTTTATTATGACCGCATTATAATAGATTTTTAAGCCTTAAGGAATAAGAAATGGACGAATCACAATTAATTATTCTCCTCGCATTCGACTTACGGTTTAAGGCTTAAAACACCTATTGTACATTCAGACTTAAGCGCATACTGCATCATTTGTCCTTGTTGTTCACCAAATAATAAAGTGATAAAATGATACATCATGCATTTCATGCGTAATTAAAAACACATACATTTGAGCTCGCGGCACACGATGCTTATTTTTCTGCTGGATTACTAGCTAGTTTAGTTTTCCGGATTTACAATAGGTGTTTTAAGCCTTAAACCATAAGAAATTGACCAACTACAGTCGAATGCGAGGAGAATAATCGACTGTGATTCGTTTATTCTTTATGGCTTGAAGCTTAAGAATCTAGATTGTAGATCTGGGGTTAAGCTGATTTTTTATACGCAGCACGCTGTGGCAGCAATTCGTAACTATTGGTTAAAAATTTTACGTGAGATGACACTTCCGCAAAATACATTTTGCCGCTCATTGAAGTTCAACCGAACGAACAACGAAGAACAGCAAAGAATTCGAAGCCGAGAAAGTCTGCAATATTTGTCAAAAATATAAAAATTGAGTACATTTATAATGAATACATACAATGAGTACATTTTCATTAAGATTTAAAATGATGAGGATATTCTAAATTCTAAATAATTACCTGAAATAATAGTTGTCCAAATTGTAACTACACTAACAGTTGCCATATAATCATAAGTTTTTGGCTTTTTAAGTTTTCTATATTAATTTTCGAGCTGAACAAATAAAAGATACTTCTTTGAGGTTAAACTTCAATACATTGCTGTTGCCGTAATTCCTTTTCATGCGCAGTAAATGCAGCGGAAGCAATTATGAAAAATTGGCATCACTATCATCAATTGACATTTTTGCTACCGCAGCGTGCAGTGTATGAAAAGGCACCTTTATGCGTAATTCGGAACGCATCCTGTATAGATATACCCTTAGATAAAATCTGCGGCTAGTACTCACAGTATCGCAGCCAATACAGGCAAGATTTTAATTCAGCTAGCAATCCAGCATGAAAACAAACATAGTGTGCCACAGGTTTAAGGATCTCTTTCATCGACTTCTGAGGCCCTATTCTTGAAAAATATCGTATATAAAAAATTAGGGAAATATAGTGTACGTAACATATACTATAGTATTTCCTTAGCTTTAGAGAGAAATCTGGGAGAAGACATGACGACCTGTAACCGCAAAATGCTGCTGCGCACTACTGCCCTCTGACAAAGTGAACGTAAACTACGTAGCAACGTCCACTATTCTTACGGTACATCGTTTACTTTTCAAGGCTGGAGATGATAAATTGATATTTGATTCATATAATCGTGTAACATGTAGCATGATTATATAAACCAAATATCGATTTATCATCTCAGGTTTCTCTCTAATTTTATGTACAATACTTTTCAAAAATAGGGGCTCTGGTTAAATTAATCGACGATTAACTCACAGAAGTACCAACAGCAGTTTAATACAGAGAGATAGACTAAAGAGACTCCACTCAATCTAACCACTCCTCAGAAAATGGATCCATTTTGAGTTTTGATCCATTTTAAGTTTCAATTCTCGACACTCGCGGCGCTTGTGAGCTTGGAGGTTGTGTGCATGAGTGCACCGTAGAAAAAGTGTCACAAACGTAACTTAACCCCGT